TGCTTCCTGGGTGGGATCTGGGCCCCCGGGAAGACTTTGAGTTTGAAGAAGAACCTCAGCCCCTGCAGAGGCTACCCTGGCATCTCCCCAAGCCTCTCCATCTGGCTGGGTTCTGACCACTCAGTCCTATCTTCGCAGGAAAAGAGACAGTCCTCCTGCTTCATGAAAACCCCTCATAAATTAGTTATTTGGAGAACCTCGTACCAGCAGGTGGGATTTACTTGCTATTTCAAAAGCCTTTAAGGAAATGTCCTGGGAGTGGCTTGGCTCAGGACAACCATGGAGGCTCCTCCGCCCCAACCCACCCACTCACCCACCCTGCCCAACTTCCAGCTCTTTGAGACTCTGAGCAGCCTTGGGAGAACACACAGTGTTTAAATGACTGCCCACTGCCCTCATAAGCCTGCTGCCTGCCCGGCCTGTCCCCTTGGGGAGGGAGGGAGGTTGTCACGCTACACTCCTGGCACTGGCCTCACCTCAGCCAGCATCTCCCCAGAGAGGTCGCCGGGCAGGGGTAGACGGCATTTTCAAGCAGTCACATGCCGCACCCAACGGGGCTCTCCCCCCACCAAGCATTCCTTAGGGAGGAAAAGCTGCATCCCAGTCGTCCACTTGGTTCCTCTTGGGGTGCTTGTGCTGGTGGCAGCATGCATGAGACTCCAGGAATCCCAAGTATGCAAGATCCCGGGAGGGCTTATGGCCTGCAGCCGAAGCCAAAGCCAGAAGACCATGCATGGTTCCCCTTCAACAGTCCAGGACATTTCTCCCCTCAGGCCCACAGTCCCCACCGTGTGCTTCCTGACTACCCTCTCTCTGGGAGAAGCTCCTATATCAGAGGCCCATGGAGCAGGGTCTTCTGCACCCAGGGAGCAGCCAGCAGAAGCCAGCCCACTATCCTAACCCAGTAAAGTCACCCACCCTGATTCACCAGGGGTTGGGGGCACTGAGGGCCAGGACCGTTTTCACACTACTCCTCACTTGCAGTCTCCAGTATTGTCCATTTTGACCCAAATATCATCTTCCTCCATCTCTGCCTGTTGTGATAGCCATCCTCCAGTGCTCCTAGGAGCACAGTCTTGGCCTCTTCCAAGATGAAGCAGCAAAGATAAAAACCACACCTTCCTAATCAATGAATCCAAGATCCCCTGTCTGGAGATAGAGGGGAACTGCACACTTGTGAGAGGACCCGGCAGGTGATGAGCCCCTGGCTTTGTTTCCCAGGCCCTTGTGGGTGTCTCACCAACAGAGCTTCCTGGGACGCTGGGACAGAGAGACTGTAGGAAGCCCCCATGAGCACTGGGGGCTGGGGGCTGACTGTGAACCCACACCCCTCCCCATGAGAACCCCTAGCACAGGCTGGGACATGTAAACAGGACTCCCCAGAAGGCCGAGAAGTGACAAGAGAGGTCATAATCTCAGATTATCTAGACCACAGGGTGTGACCTCTGCAGTTTATCTTGTCACCATGGGCAGCGTTTCCCAGATTCCCAGATGGTAAACATTATCTCCTGGCGTGGAGGAGGTGGTAGATTTATTGGGCAGGGGAATTTGACATTTTCAACAATTACTCTAGGTGGTTCTGATCTTCCTGAAGTTTAGGAAACGCTGCAGGAGCTCCCTCCACTTGACAGGCCCACACCTGAGCTCTGCATGTGCTCTCAGGAAAGATCCTGGCTGATTGGCTGAACTGCCGGGTCTCTCTCCTATAACCTAAGGCCAGTTCTGAGGTCTAATTCCTAGTTCCTGTCTCCGGACCCCTTCCTTTCCTAAGACCTACCCTGGAATGATGGCCCCTTCGGGAAAGACCCACCGCCCACATTGCCTCAGTGCTCAACACAGCACCCATATCAGAAAACCAGTGGCCACATTCACATGACTGGGGCAGGTGGCAGGCACCATAACTCTTCCTATCCCCACATGAAACTCTCAGGTAGAGACTGGGTGATATTGCCTGCCCCTCAGCTTTCATCCTCTGGTGGCATGGCTGGGTCATTCCACCTGAATTTGCAGACCTCGTCACTATTTTATCGAGAGTGGGGCCATCAGACCTTCCAAAGCCATAGGAGGAAAATCTGGAGCAAGATTTGTAAGATTCTGTGTGCTGATGATAATGTCTGGTATTCCAAACCAAGTAATGCACATGAAGAGATACTCAATATCATTGGCCCTTAGGGAAATACAATTCAATGAAAAACTACTTCATATCAAGTAGGACAGCTATGCTTTTTTTTAAAATAGAAAACAAGTGTTGGTGAGAAAATGGGAAAATTAGACCCCTCACACATTGCTGGTAGAAATGTAAAATGGTGGAAAACAGGGTGGTGGTTCTTCCAAAACTTAAAGTTAACATAGGATCCAGCAATTCCGCTGCTAGGTATATACCCTAAAGAATTGAAAACAGGTACTCCAACAAATACTTGCGCACGCATGTTCATAGCAGCATCATTCATAACAGTCAAAAGGGAGACATAACCCAGATGTCCACCCATGGATGAATGGATAAACAAAATGTGGTATATTCATACAATGGAGTATTACTTGGCCATAAAAATGAAGTACTGATGTATGTTACAACATGGATAAACCTTGAAAACATGCTAAGTGAAAGAAGCCAGACACAAAAGGTCACATATTGTATGATTCCACTTATATGAAATATCCAGAATAGGTAAACCCATACAGACAGAAAGCGGACTGGTGTTTTCCAGGAGCTGGGGCACAGAGGAGGAGAAGGAGGGGCTGCTTAATGTATGTGGGGTTTTATTTTAGGGTGATGAAAATGACTTGGAATTAGATAGAGGTGGTGGTTTGTATAACACTGTGAATGTATTAAAGGCCACTGAATTGTTCACTTTAAAATGGTTAATTGTAGGCTGGGCACAAGGACCCACCCACTGAATATGGCAAAGGACTGATGGAAATGAAATAGACTTCCATAACCTACAATCCCAACACTTTTGGAGGCCAAGGCGGGAGGACTGCTTGAACCTGGGGAGTTGGAGACCAGCCTCAGTAATACAGTAAAATCCCATCTCTACGAAAAATTTTAAAAATTAGCTGGGTGTGGTGGTGCTCGCCTACAATCCCAGCTACTCAGGAGGCTGAAGTAGGAAGATGGCTTGAGCCCGGAGTTAGAGGCTGCAGTGAGCTGTGATCGCACCACTGTATTCCTGCCTGGGCAACAAAGTGAGACCCAGTCTCATAATACATACATACATACATACATACATACATACATACATACATACACTGTTCATTGTATTATACAAATTTTACCTCAATAAAAAAGCTAACAAACCAAAGAAAAACAAGTCACAGTCCACCGAGGGGGGCTTTCGGAAGCTGTCATCCTCTGCCAGCACCGTGATAGGAAAAGAACGCATCTTGCTGCGGGTAACTGATTTGGCCCAGCTCTGCTGCATGTGATTTCAGCCCCGCAATAAACATCCTCACACTTTCAGCATTTTCAAAGCTGGGAGGTTTGCAGACTTTAGCTTCAGTCTCAGGTTTGCTGAATACTGCGAAGGAACCGGAGTAGCTTCCATAACCAGAAGATCAAACTTATTCCTGAGCCTGGCAAATCCCTTGCTTAAGTTTATTAGCATAGCACATAAATGTAAAATAGCCAGTTACAAAACCCAACGCTGAGCCATTTAAAAGGTTCTTGATTAATATGAGGACTCATGAATGCTTAAAAGTAATTCTACCTGGAAGTTTGAGCTCGAGTATTTTAAACAACGGCAGAAGGAAGTTTTGTTCTAATTTTTAAATGTGAATAATTAACCTCTCAGGAGGAAAAAGAGCAGAATTTTAAGAGCAGTTCAAGCCAATAAATGTCCAATTTAAAAACAGATTAGTACTGCTGGTATCAACTACCACCCTGACTGAGCTCAGTGGCGATTCACATGAAATCAGTCATTACTTCAGTCAAACTGTTGGAGCATGCATGCCCCTTTGCTCTGCTTTCAGGCACTTAAATGCAGGAATAAACCAATTTAGGGTGACACTATGGCTTGTGTAAAAGGCATTAAAAAATTCGCATTTTTGCTACACTAAGTTTTGTTACCAAAAAAGCTGTTACTACAGATTTCATATTCTAAAAATCAGTTTCTTCCAGTTAGAAATACTAGTAGTCAGCCGGGCGCAGTGGCTTATGCCTGTAATCTCAGCACTTTGGGAGGCTAAGGCAGGTGGATCACGAGGTCAGGAGATCGAGACCATCCTGGCTAACACGGTGAAACCTTGTCTCTACTAAAAATACAAAAAATTAGCCGGGCGTGGTGGTGGGCACCTGTAGTCCCAGCTACTCGGGAGGCTGAGGCAGGGGAATTGCTTGAACCCGGGAGGTGGAGCTTGCAGTGAGCCAAGATCACGCCACTGCACTCCAGCCTGGGCAACAGAGCAAGACAGAAAGAAAAAGAAAGAAAAGAAAGAAAGAAAGAAAGAGAGAGAGAGAGAGAGAGAGAGAAAGAGAGAGAGAAAGAAAGAAAAAGAAAGAAAAGAAAGAAAGAGAGAGAGAGAGAGAAAGAAAGGGAGAGAGAAAGCAAGCAAGAAAGCAAGGAAGGAAGGAAGGAAGACAGGCTATTAGTCATTATTTCTTAAGGTTTAGATCTGGCATTAAATATATATTAACACACCCAACTTACACAATAGGCTTTGGCTAGCAGTATCCTTATAAGAATAAAAAAGCAATGGTTCAGACAGTTTTGTTCTAGTATGTCATCATACAGAAAGGCAAATCCTTCCCGAGCCTCTTGAGGAGAATCTAGTTGCCAAAGTGTCCCAAGAAATTTCCTGTCAAGAAATTTCACTATAAAAAGACTCCAGGATATCAACATGCTTGTGACTGCCCCAGCATAAAGCCTCCCTAATCATCTTCTTTCAAAAGGAAAGAAAAGGGAGTAAGAAGAGGAGAAAAGAGGAGGAGAGAGAAAGAGAAAAGGGAAGAAGAGAAGAAATAACAAAGAAATGAAGGGAGTAATCTTGTTTCTCTGTTTCAGAAGCAGCTAACCCTGGAGAGAGAACAGACCAAGCTAAACATTAACCACTGCTGCTGGTAGGCCTCTGACAGCACAGGGTAGTGAGCCAGTCTTTCAGAAACCAGCTAGCTGGGTTCAAAACCAAGCCCATCATGTAGAAGCTATGTGACCTTGAAGAAGTTAATTAGACTCTCTGAACCTTTGTTTCTTTATCCACCAATAAAAATAACCTCACCTCCCTCCCAGGGTTGTAGGTCCAAGTGTATAATGTACAAATGAATAAATTAAGACAGTCTTACTCCTGTTGTCATTCCCTTTTCATTGAAAAGACATTGAGTACAAATGAATAGATGCTATCCAAAGAGGGCACGTTCAGTTCCTGGACCCTGGTCACTTTGCCCCTTTCCGTGGTCTGAAGCACTAATGGCTGGAATCTAACCTGGAAGGTTGGTTACCCCTGTTGATGCTGTAGCAGGAAAGTCAGAATCTAGCCAATGCTATTGTATTTTTTATTAAAAAAACAAATTAAATAAAATAGTGATCCATTACATATAAAACTGAGCTGCAGTCCATAGTTTACAGTGGGGAAGGCTCAGAAGATAGAGGCAAGAACGTAGCTGCAGCATTTTCTTTTTCTTCATATCTAGGAGGCAATTCAGATGGAAGATGAGGAGTATGTGAAACCTCAGAAGATGAATTCGTCCTGGAAATGGTATATATAGATTCACAGTCTCTCTCAGAGGCTACACCCTCTGAAGCTGGGGTCCTGCTAAAGAGAAGGAGAGAGAACATGAAGGGGAAGGAATGAAAACAGTGACACCCCTTTAGAACTAGGTTCTTTTCAAACGTTTCATTACATGCACTCAGGAGTATTTGCAAGAAACTGAGGAGTAATTTCTCCCACACTCTGCTTTTCATAGATTTGTTTTGATTTCTTACCTCTTCCTTTTCCTAGAGCTGAGTGTAACATTAAGACAGTTTCACTCCTGCTGTCATTCCCCTTGTCATTGAAAAGACATTTAATACAAATTTGCAGATACCATCCAAGGAGACCATAGGCACACACACAGACACACATACACACACACACACACACACACACACACACACAGTTCTCTGCTATTCTGTCTTCTGGGACAGCTAACATAAGGCAGACAAACTTATGCATATGGAAAATTAAAACATTAAGCCACAAACCTGAAGGACGGCAGGAAGGCATCCTGGCTAATGGAGTGGGCTCTAACAAAAGTTGACCTGCCCTGGAATCTACCCTGCTGCTTCCCAGTTATGTGATCTTGGGCAAGTGAATTAACATTGCTAAACCTCAGTTTCCTTATCTGTGAAATGAGGATGATAACGTTCCTTTCTCCTAAAGTGGATATGAGAGTTACATAAACTAATGCAAGAAAAGCCAGACCCTGGGACACAGAAATCACAGTAGCAGCAGCAGTAGTTTAAGTTACTAGACATTGATTTTAGGGTTTGGGGAAGTTTATCATTAGAAGAAAAAAAAAAAAACAAACATTCACGATGAGAATTCTACAGAGGTCCAGCCCTAGCTTGCCTTTCCTCCATGCAGGGCCGCTCCCACATGCACCTCCCTGGATCCCTCCACCACGACCCCATATGAAGCTCTAAAGCCAATTCTGTCCTTGTCAGCCACCTCTTTCCCTCTCCCATCAGATAACCTGTCCCCCTACTTCTGTGGAAAAAGAATCTCTACACAACTTCACTCCCTCCAGGCCCCAGAGGAAAAGCACCCTGGCCACTGCTCCAGGGCCCACTGTCTGTTCCGTCCGGGCAGGGTGGAGAGCGAGTTCCTCAAACACGAACGACAAGGTAAGGGGGTGCTGTCCCCAGCAGTGAGCACCAGTCTCTCTGTCCCTGCTGCTCACTGCGTGCAAAAATGCACATATCTCATTGTCTTACCTGCTTCAGCCGGTGACAACTTGAAGCAATTCTTCCTTCCTACACCCTAGTTTCCCATTCTAAAAGGTACCACCAGAGCCTTCTCCAGCCCTGCTCGCTGAGCACACCATTTCTGGGATCTGCACAATCCACTCCTGGGGGTTTCCCACTAGTCCCTGACTCTTCGCCCTCCTCGTTCTCCAACAGCCTCTGCAGCTCCATCTCCACCACCTCCTCTCTCTCCCAAAACCCAGCTCCTCCCAATCTGCCTCCAAGGCCCTCATCTCACTGTGCCTCCACCATCAGCCACCCACCACCAAAACCAAGCTCATCACCCACGTCCTCGCAGTTGGGGACCTCTGAGCTTCCCTGTCACTCACCCTGGAACTCATCATCTCGGCCTCCTCCTCAGTGTCATTCTCCATCTGGACCTCCTACCCCAGGCTCCTGGCACCTCTGGCCCATCCCACTAGAGCCCGCCTCGCAGCCTTCTGTGTGGGGTGGGTGTCGACCTGATGTTCTCTGTGGCCCAGGGAAGGAGCAAATATTGAAGGAGAGGTCCAGCTGTGTTGGGTCAGGGCTTAGGCTGATTTTAGCCAGTCACCCAAGCACGGCCATCAGAGTACTAAAGCCCTTCTGTAACTGTTGGGGATCCCCTGGAACCTTCACACCTCTCCATGATCGAAAGCAGTGAAGCCTAGCATAGCAGGGGCCTCGTGGCCCAGTCCTGGCACTCAGTCTGATTGGTGGGTCGTCAAACATTCTTTTTTTTTTTTTTTCTGAGACAGAGTCTCACTCTGTTGCCCAGGCTGAAATGCAGCGGCGCAATCTCGGCTCGCGGCACAAGAATAGGGTCTGGAGGCAGGGAACCTACGGCCGTTTCACGCTGACTTCCTAGAACTAAATTGAAAGGAAAACCCTAACTTTCCACCCGTAAGTAACGAAAGGACCAAAGACTACTCCCTTTGCAAACACCCACCTTTCGGCAGATGGGAAATTGAAAGTTTGCCTAAGAGTGCAACTTTGTAACCTCACTTCAGCCTCTGATTGGCTGCTTTCTTCAACCAATCAGACTGATTGTGGGCCACTACTTCATTTACATGAGGTGAACACCAAGTTGCCAATGGGAAACCTCTAGGGGGGATTTGGATCCAAGAAGATTCTGGAACTGGGCCCTTGAGCAGATGTTCAGGCTTGCTCCCACCCTGTGGAGTGTACTTCCATTTTCAATAGATTTTTGCTTTTGTTGCTTCATTCTTTCCTTGCTTTGTTTGTGTATTTTGTCCAGTTCTTTGTTCAAAACACCAACAACCTGGACACCCTCCAGTGGTAACAAGCTCACTGCAACCTCTGCCTCTTGCGTTCAATCGATCCTCATGCCTCAGCCTCCCGAGTAGCTAAGATTACAGATGCCCACCACCATCCCCAGCTCATTCTTCTATTTTTAGTAGAGTTGGGGTTTTGCCATGTTGGCCAGGCTGGTCTCAAACTCCTAAGCTCAAGTGATCCACTCACCTCGGCCTCCCAAAGTGCTGGGATTACAGGTGTAAACCACCGCACCTGGCAAGGGTTGTTAAACATTCTAAGTATCACCCCTGTTAGGAGCACATAAAGATGCCTGGAGTAGGCTTCATATTCACCCAGCATGATCACTTTATCATTTTTAACTTATGTGCTGCCCAAAGTTTCCTGAAAGGTACTGTTAATATCAAGACACGAATTCTGAGATAACATCAGCAAAAAAAAAAAAAAAAAATACTTGAATGCCTCCTGGTGAACCACAGCCTTAATACTAGTGTGGCCTGAATTCAGGCCTCTCTCAAAGTTCAAATTGAAATTCTTACCCATAGTTGAAAATACTGTAATATGAAGGGGGGCTTTCATTCGGAAGCAGACTGTTAGTCCCAGGACTCTCAGTGACCGCAGAAGCTGAAGATTCAGGAAAGTAAGGTGGTGGAGGTGGTGGAAATATTATTACCGAGTCACCTAAGGAAACACAATATTTAGTTGAAGACAGGTGGGTAATAAATGGAAACAAATTAGCAAAAGCAAAATTAAGTATATATTTGGCCCATCTATATAAAAGGTCAATACACCTGCTGCTAACTCCAGAATTTAACAGTGAGCCCATTAAATGTATAAAGATAGAAAAGTAGACTAGGTTACCAGGGGCTGGGAGGGGTTGGGGAGTGGGGAAGGGAGTAGGAATTGCTGTTTGGCGAGTACAGAGTTTCTGTTTGGGATAATGGAAGAGTTCCGGAAATTGATGATGATGATGGTTGAACAACATTGTGACTGTATTCAACGCCACTAAACCATTTAAAAATGTGAAGTGGCTCACACCTATAATCCCAGCACTTTGGGAAGCTGAGGAGGAAGGATCGCTTGAGCCCAGGAGTTGGAGACCAGCCTGGTCAACACAGCGATATCTCATCTCAAAAAAATTAAAAGAAAAAAATTAGACAGATGTGAGAGTAAACGCCTGTAGTCCCAGCTACTGGGAAGGCTGAGCTAGGAGGACTACTTGAGCCCAGGAGTTCTAGGCTGCAGTGAACTATGTTTGTACCACTGCACTCCAGCCTGGGTGACAGACCAAGACCATGTCTTTAGAAAAAGGAAAAAAAAGCCAGGCATGGTGGCCCACGCCTGTAATCCCAGCACTCTGGGAGGCGGAGGCGTGGTGGTGGGCGCCTGTAATCCCAGCTACTCGGGAGGCTGAGGCAGGAGAGGCTTGAACCCAGGAGGCAGAGGTTGTGGTGAGCCAGGATCATATCACTGCACTCCAGCCTGGGCAACAGAGTGAGATTCTGTCTCAAAACAAAACACAAAACAAAACAAAAAGCAGTTTAAATTGTTTATGCTATACATATGTATATATATTTTACCACAAATTTTTAAAAAGTAGGCCTACATTTCAGAATCCAGAGTGCTGACCATTATGGTATGAAAGTGGGTCTATATTTCGTAGCAAGTCTAAGCCCAAGCCTCTCTGTGAATTGTTTGCTAACGAGCTCCCTTCCCTCCTCTGGGGTGTTTACTGCTGATAAAGCTTTTCTCTTTTCCAGCCTACAACTTAATTCACAAGTTAGCTGTTAGCTAAAGTGCCTTGTTGCTCAAATGTAGTTTCAGCCCCTGAGCAAATGACAATAAGCCATACTACAGTCCCTGTTATTTACCAAAATTTCACCCAACTATACAGATGAAGGTCAAACCCAAACAAGTTTGGTTTTTGCATTTCTGCCGCTACTGTTAGCTTCAGAATACATCCTCATGTTTTGAGGAGAAACTAGGGACCAGATGCAAGCTCTAATTTGTATTCCGATTCCAATATAAAATGCACCACACCACTGGCCCAGAACAGTGTACAGCTGTGGCAGCACCACTGCTGGGGGCCTGGCAAAAGCCTCTAAGAAGCTGGCAATAGCAACAACAGTTCAGAAAAAAGGAAGAAGATGTGGCTTTACTTCCCTGTAGGCAGGAGAGTGGTTCGCACTCCTAGCACGT